GCTTCTTTTTGTCTTGCTAAATAAGCACAAAATGGATTGCTTCTCGAACACTAAGAAATAAGTCTTCATTTGGATGTGAGCATCAAAGAAAAGGCATCCACAACAAGTGTGACTAAAAATTTTGAAAAGTCCGCTTGCATTCTTCATTCCACTTAAATCTTTATGAGATTCTTAAGGTTTTAAATAAGGATGCGCTCTTCTCACCCAACTTAGAGATAAATAAGCTTATGTCAACTATGCGCCAAGTTAACTTTTATAGCTCTATTATATTTCTTGGTCATGGGAACTTCTGAATTGCCTCCACATCATCTGAATAATTTTAATTTATAGTAAAAACCATATTATCTGAATTTATTTTTTTCCTTTCCGTAAAAAGCCAAAAATTTGCATGATCGGACTCCAAAAGTACACTTAAAATGGGTTAAGCCTCATTTAATTTATTCATTGTATTACAAGTTTCCCTCAAGTCAACTATGTGTTGCCCTGGATTGTTACTTTCTATAAGAATTCCACATAGACTTTGACATTTCTCTCCTTTTTCCCATTAAATATTAAATCCATCATTCTTTGATAAGTCTCCTAATGTTCTTCAATCAAAAAGTTATTATATTACAAAAATATGCCATCTCCAATAATGAAAATAGTCTTCTCAACATCAATAAGATACATCATTATTTAATGATAGCCTCAAAAAATATTGAAAAAGCTCGTACTAGCATAGCAAATTGTGGAGATGACAAGAGCATCAATATACAACAACACATAACAATTTTTTGGGCAAGCCAAGTTTAGGTTAGTATATTTGATGCACATTCGCAAATTATCATTCCACCATTGCACCATCACAATATTTGATATCCCTTATGGGTATTGAACAGCTCTAATGCATCCAACCTTGAGTAGCTTTTCGGTTTCCTAATAAATTAGGCTGGTGAACATGCAATTGGCCTTATTTTCAATTAGAATGTCCATATTTCTTATTTACATCGAGGCGATAGCAAGTGGCATTGATATCAATTACTAGCATCTTAATGGCTGATCAAGTAAATACATCAAATACATCAATATTCTTCTCCAAGGTCGCCACCAGCTCAACTGTATGCGATATCAAAAGACATGCTAATCTAAAAGATACAACTAAGGTCATCTAATGTAGGTATTCCTTAACTTCTTCAAAATTCTCCAAACATGAACCTCTTTGAACTTCTATATTTAAAACCAATGTACATTTTAAGTTTTTTATAGAAGTGAGCCATATTTCACGATTATCTCTTCTAGAAACTTTACAACAAGGTGAGCAGAAGGTGTTGAAAAGCTAATATGAAAATTTGTATGTGATTTAGCACAACAATAACAACGTCAGCCTTGGTAATCTATTGGGGATCTCTATTGCTCCAAGTGATCAACAAGGTGATCATTCTTTCACTTCTCTAGAAAGAGTGCAAGTACAAGAGGCCTATGTTCTGTGACAGGCGGTTCCTTTAATGTTCTTCTTGAATACACTCTTGAAGATTCTATTGATCAAGCTCCCTCGTATCGATCAATATGCTGCAAATTTGATAGTTGGTGATTAACATCATAGCTGCTATAACTTCATTTTAAGGATTTCTTTTAATTGGCCCATTAGCATTAGAGAATGTAACAGGGATGTTCTTAGTAGATGGTGCTCATACAGTGGTTGACAAATTCACCTCTCCTGACCATAATCGCTTGAGGTCGGCTAGGTGAGCAACTTCTAAACATCTGCCCAAGAAGGCATATGACTCTAGCTATATGAATTGAGTGAGTAGGGACAAGTTCAACTCTTGATTCCTCAATGGGCCCCTTGCCCAACTCGGCTAAGATAAACTCATTCAATTTTTCAGTCTTGATTGGTTCTTTAACTAAATTTCTAAGGTAGCTACAATCCTTAGTGTCATGAATTTGACCATGATGGAAGGTGGGGTAGTTAACATATCCCTCAAGCAGGGATCAACCATCATTGGTGTTGGGTGGCTACACTAATCTTTATTCTAAATGGTCTCAATTACATAGGATATAGACACTTTGAGTAATTATTGACAATTGAGTAGTCGATCTTTCCCTCCTACGTTCTTGGTGGCACATATATTGTCATGTCCACCTTAGCCATTGGTGAGGTTAGAATTGGAGGGGGTGGGGGGTTGTAGACAAAGTCGGGCAGTCTCTCCAAAACTTAAGAATGTGTGTAATTTGTGTTGTTCTCTTGAGTATGCATCTCATGGTCAACCTAAAGACGATGCATTCATCTAGTTGTTATACTACCTGCAGTTGTAAGAACACTAGAATGCTTCAATTGCTGCAAGCCAAAAGTATAGCAAAAAGGCCCTTCATAGAGTCAATGGGTAAGAGCAACATTGAGCCACGTCCAGCTCCAGGACTTTAACTTCAAAGATTTCTCTTTGGAATCTTGTTATAAAGTTTCTGAGTAACTTGTCATTCTCTTAACATATCTTCAGTTAAGCCTCATGAGATTTTTTGGGGTGTGAAACACTAGTGAACTTTGTATCAAACATCCCTTTAAATTACGCAAATAATGTGACTGTCCAAAACATAAAATGGGAAAATAACTTGAGGGGCTACTTGAAAGTAATGATAAATCATCAATACTCCAACATGTTGATGTCAAGCAATAAAACAACTAATCCGAAGTATGTTATATGGTTGAACCGATCAACCCGACCTATTCAAAGGTGGTCGCTCCTTTCTACTCGCCCTCAAGTTAGAAAGGTTCAAGTGAAAACTCCTAGTCAAAATTTAGATGGCAGAACTCAACAAGCAATGGGAATGCTCTCGCTCTAGAATGCCTCCTAGCCGCCGAGTTAGCAGACTCTTTAGATAGTTGTGCACTAAGTGGTGTCCTAGAGATCTATTGTAGGATGTCTTGGATCATCTTGTTGAACCTCATCTCCATTTCATTCAACTTTTAAGTGGTCACAATATAATAGTTTTTCATAATAAAAAAAATATCGCTAAATTTTCTCTAGCTATTTTTCTACTTTGGTCCTTCTACAAATCTCTAAGTGTACCTTTTGATCCTAAGCATAGATCCACATAAACTACATTTGTTTAAGATGTTTGATTGAATTTTATTCATGACTTATGCTAAATTCTTCCTAGCTCAAATAAAAAGAGAATGTGAAAAATAGAGAATACAAAATTTTAAGAAATTCACTATCAAGCTCAATAAATTGAGGCTATCATAGACAATATAACTTAGGTAGAAACATGTTAACGTAGTACTCCCTGCAACCTATCCTTTATAAATAAAGATCGGGGATCTTGAACACTACAAGAATGGCTACAAAATGAGTTATACATGAAAAAGTATGAGAAAATATAAGAGATGTATTGCTTAATAACAAACTAAGATTCTAACTAATACCAAGTCTTTAAACTTTGAGAAAATTACTAGCTCCATTGATGGTATTCACTGAGTAGCTATCTCAGCTTGGGTGACTGTATGGGTTGAGTCAATCCTGTTAGTACTTCGGTGCATTTGGCAAGTATGTTTCAATATGAATTGATCCCCCTAATCCGCCTCAAATCTAGCAGATAGATTCCTTCAATCCGACTGAGTAGGTACTCTTATAGTCGGTTAGTGGTTTCCTCTTGAGCCCTATTAGCTATCTCTCTCTTCTTCAGATCTAGTTGACAAATTCGTATTAAACCCGGCCTGGCAAGTTGTCCTGGCGCCCAACTTGCAAAGCTCATTCCTAGCCTCAAAAGGCAAGCATGTCTCCTTGCCTCTCAGACGAGCGAGAATGCACTCTAGGTGTACTAAATTGTGATTTTAGTCAAAGCTTCATGAGCGAAAATTAAGTGGTTGATATAGGAAGTAACATAATACCTATTGAATAAAAGAGTATCATGGAAATTTAAATATGCATTTTATAAAACAGCACTTGGGCTACAAACAACAACAAGACTTTATCCCACTAAATGGGGTTGGCTACAATAATCCTTTTTCTCCATTGTGTCCCACTAAGTCTCATATTTTCATTTAATTCTAATAAATTATGATAATTTCTTATACAACATGTCCAAGTCTTTTTAGGTCTACCTCTACCTTTCTTAACACAAGTCAAATCTAACATTAAGAACGATAGAGGTAGACCTATAAAAACTTGGGCATGTTGTATGAAAAATGATCTCAATTTACTATAAAACCGTACTTAGGCTCTACAATATAAATTTAAGAGTTGAGCAATAACGAAAAAATTGAAATATAAGATGAGGATGGAAGAAATGATAAGGTTAAAATACATATAGTTAAATTTGGAATGATATATTAAAAAAATTATTATAACAAATAGAAGACCATAGTAGCCTGAGCAAATAAAATGAAGGGCATAAGAAGTGTCCCGATAAGATAACTAGATTAATTAATGTGGACAGCAAGAAAAGTGGTATGGCATGGGTAACAAAGCCACAAGTTGCAGAAATGAGTTGCACAAAACAGTGTTAATATTTTATGCAGCACTCAATAGGAACTAATAAAGGATGATTTGTCTAGCTGAGCCCAAATAAAAGGAAAAAATTGAATGCTGCAGTTTATTGTTCGATGCATTAAATATTAGTTGATATATGTTTAAAACCAAACCTACAGCTAACAGGAAAAAAATTACACTAATGGAATTTTACTGTATTAAACTAAAAGTATGCCCCTGCGGGGACAGGGACTATGGGCACATTGCGCATACAATTACACATGCGAGGAACTCTATAGCATTCTTTCAAACAAAATCAATGTTATTTGAGCTATTTGTGTATCATATACTTCAGCAGATAGATTTTATAGAACAATTTTCAACACCAAAAGAGAAAAAGAAACACATCAGACAATAGATTGCCATGTCTTCACAATCACTATTACGTCTATCCACTTCAAATACAATAGCTAACTTCCGATGCAGGCATTAGAAAAAAAAAATGAAAAAATAGGTCTGTGCCGAAAGTTCTAATAGAAGGATTAAGTATACCCATTTGCTTGTCAACGAACTAGCTGATATGTAAAAAAAAGTTGCTTTAGCTTCTCCGGCAATGGCTTTGCCTATCATTGTTTTACCTGTTCCCTAAGATAAAGCAATAATCAAAGCAGTATCCTAACTAGCAATGGAATTAAAGAACTTTATTCCTCAAAAAAAAAAACGTACTGGGGGCCCAAACAAAAGCAGTCCTCTTCCAGGAGACCGACAACCACGAAATATGTCAGGCCGTAAGAGAGGCCATATAACCATCTCTGTGACGCATTCTTTCGCATGGTCCAAGCCAGCTGTAATGAGGCATGCTATGAATCAGCAAGCAAAATTTACTAAGCTTGAACAGGTGGAAACCATCAAAAGAGGATTGCTTTAAAGCATATTTTAAAAATACCTATGTCATCCCAACGAACATTAGGGTCCTTCTCCATTATCTCATTACTAACATGTTCAATAAGACGAGGTTCCAGGTTCCTCAACTTCTCAGGAAGCTCCCCATCCGGACCACACAACATTTCCAAACTGACATCAAAAGCCTAAAAGTTGAATATCACCATTTATTGAAGAAAAACATCTACTGGAAGAGAACAGAATCATTATATCTCAAAATTCATAAGAAACTGCTTAAATCTAGCAGATACAAATAGATGGACAACTACAACAACAACAACAACAACAAGCCCTTATTCCCCTAAGTTGGGTCGGCTACATGAATCTTTTTTATCAATTGCGTCATATTGAGTGTCGTATTTTCATTTAGTTCTAATAGATTGTGATCATTTTTTATTAAATAAGCCCATCTTTTTAGGTCTACCTTTGTCTTTCTTAACATTAGTGAAATCTAAAATATCTACTCTCCTAACCGGATCATCAGATGGTCGACGTTTAATGTCACCAAACCATCTAAGACGGCTCTCTTCAATCTTGTCCGCCACCGGAGCTACACCAACCCTATCACAGATATATTCATTTCACATTTTCTAAGTTTCAAGCCACTCATCCACCTAAGCATTCTCATCTCAGCAACACTTAACTTTGTTTTATGCTTTTCTTTTAAACATTTTGTGCCATAGAGCATTGCAGGTCTTTCACCATCTTATAAAATTTTCCCTAAGTCTAAGCAGTACTTTTCTATCACACAATAGACTTTGCATTCCTCCATTTCAACTAACCAACTTAAATTCTACTAATAACAACCCTATCTATATCACCATTACTTTGAACAATAAACCTGAGATATCTTAAACGTTCACACCTTTCAATAATTTGAGTATCCACAATTACAACTCTGCCACTAGTGCTACTATAACTAAAATTACATTCCATGTATTCCATTTTAGATCAACTCAAATGAAGGGCTTCACAGTCCAATGTAGACCTCCATAATTCAAGTTTTTCCTTAACTCTATCTCTAGACTTATCCACAAGAAGGATATCATTAACGAAATGCATACACCAAGGTACATCCTCCTACAAATGTCCAGTAAGAGCATCCATAACTAATGCAAAAAAAGATATGGGTATAAATCCGATCCCTGATGTAAAATAAATGAAATAGGAAAATACTTGGTCAATTCTCCTTTCAATTCGTCAATTCTCCTTCTGTTCGAACACAAGTAACAACTTTAGTATACATATCTTTAATGACTTGAATATAAGTCATATCAACACCCTTACTCTCTAAAACTCTTCAAAGGACTTCTATTGAAACTTATGATAAGAATTTTCTAAATCAATAAAAATCATATGTAAACTCTCCTTACTCTATCTGTACTTCTCCATCAAACCTCAAAAATAAATATATAGCTTCTATAGTTGATCTGTCCGACATAAATCTAAAATGATTATGAGAAATCTTTGAATCACGTCTTAACCCATGTTCAATTAACCAACCCATGTTCAATTACCCTCTCCCATTATTTTAAAGTATGACACATCAACTTAATTCCTCTATAATTTGCACACTCTTGTGCATTCCCTCATTCTTAAAAATGAGGACCCAAATACTCATCCTTCACTCCTCAGCCATCTTATTAATATTTAAAAAAAATTAAGGAATTTACTAAGCTAAGAAGCCCTCAAATCTCCTAAATATTTTCATACTTAAATCGGGATATCATCAGATTATATTGATTTTTCACCCTTAGTTTTCTTTAAATTCTCTTCAACTTTCTTTTTTACTAATGCGATGGTTAAAAAAACTTTAATTATTATTAATGACAATATAAGATTTTCAATTACCAATGCAATGTGACAAATTTAGTGGTCTCTGAAGATGATTTTGTGATATTAGCTGAAAAAGTTATAAGAATGGGCAAGTAACTATTTATATTTAAATTGGGAAGGAACTTGAAGTTATAGAGAAATACCAATCCAATAATTGAATATGCAATTTCTAATAAAAAAAAGAAATATTGTGATTGTGAATGAGAATTCCAAGAATCTTCCTTAAATCTTTTATTCTCTACTTGCTTTCAATTTTTACCATCACAGAAAAATTTTTATTAATATTTGTATATTCCATAAAGATCATAAGAGTGTGTCTGAAACTACATGACCTTTTGATAGATAGATTGTACACTGCATAATGCACCCCTCAGAGTATTTGTTATCACTGGGGCCTTTATATGTAATCTTTAAGGCTTCTTATGAGTGAAAATTTCATAATTAACAATCCCTTCAGATCCAAGAGAAAATTCTCGATTAAATATATTGTGATGCTCCATTTTAATATTTTAGAATTATTGATGCCTTTTTGTTTTAAACGCACTTTGTGCTTAAGGAGATGCTAAGTGGGTGAAGAGACGGAAGCAAGCTTTGTAAAAATCCAATGATTATATCCATTGAGATTTATTTTAGTGTAAATGCTGAAAAGTGTGTAAGCAAGTCATGAAAAGAACCTATCGTTATAATATTTTAGCTTTTTATTTAACTAAGAATTTGATAAGGAGCCATAGGATTCCCTAGCAAGGAAGTAATTTCATGCAAACATCAATAAATATATGGCATATATTTATGTGCCAAATAAACATTTTATTTTGTTTCTATGTAATCGTTTTGCTTTTTTCCCTTCTTTTTGTGTCGCGTTGTACTGCGGATATTAGAACCCCTAGGTTATAATGTTTTTCTTTTGTTTTTACCTGGGATCCTCTATCCCTCTTTTATTTTGTAACCCTTTTGAGTATTAACGCATAAGGAGCAACGAGTTTCTCTTTCATTAAAAAAAAATATGGCATATTGCATATCAAATGGATCGAGTAGCTATGAGGCTAAATGCATTGCCATTCCAGATTTGCTGGTTTAGATCACAATTGATGTGTGCTTTAGCAACATGAATCATGAAAAACCACTCAGCTCAAAGGCATTTAACCCATCCTTACTAATTGATAGGTTAAAAGTCTAACAGACTTGGTAAAGAAAATGTCAATCATTCTTTTATGATACTAGGTCAATTTTAACTTTGGCATCTTCCTTTTGTTTTCAGGACGAATTATATTGACATAGATATTAAATACTCATTGCTATTTTTCATATTTCAATATTTTCTGTTTTTTGTGGCATTTATTTTATTAATTTTTCTCTACTGTGAAGATTCCTCCTTTTAGACGTCAGGGTAGGGATTTATGTGGCCTTCAATTAGGTGTCATGTCCAAAATGGTATCAATATATTCATTTATAGCCATCTTCAAGTGCAATGTTGTCACAATATTCTTTGTAAAATAGATGAGAGATGAGCCTTTAACAAACATTTGCAAGGCATAATAGTCTCAAAAAATAGTTAATGCTTTGTGTTCTTTCTTAGAGAAGCAAGAGTGCCTTAGAATACCTTTTAAGTGGGTAACAAAGTATTATATCCCTCACGCTCTTACAAAAGTAAATATAAAGGGGACACCATAATTATCATTAATATTATTTGGGCGGGGTTTAAGTGAGGTCAAAGCTTCGCAAATAAATATTTGCAATGGCTTTGTTAACGTGAAATAACAGGAGGGATTGTTGGTGCTAATAGGCGGGATGGTATATTCCAATTCATAATAATCATAAATAATAATAATAATAATAATAAATAAAAGAAGAAATTTTGAATCGATGACAAGGGTTCGATGAATGGTTTCGACGGTTCTTAATAGGACGCAAATGTCTCCAGTTGAATCATTCGTTCAATTCAGAAATAATAGAGACAGAGAACGAGTGAAAGACAGGATGTGGAAAAAAAAGGAAGAGTAACACATCTTTTTTCTTAACAGGGCTTTAACATCATTGGTTGTAGTAGTGCGTAAAAAGAAGTGAAGGAAGACAAGAGGCGATGAATGTAGAAATAATCGAAGCGGATTGTAGGATCGTACGAACCCTAGCCAAAGCCTTGAGCTGAGTCGAGCGGCTTCTAGGAGTTTAGGTTCAGTTAAAACACTCTGGTTATAAAGAAGTAAAAGAAGGAGAGGAAGGAGAGGAAGGAGAGGAAGGGGTGGAGGATCACTGAGTTCTGGAAGACCCTTTCATGCCCCAGCATGTCGGAAGACGGTGTGCTCACCTTTTCCATTTCGAGAGGAATGGAATGCTAGTCGACCCATCGGGTTGGTTCCCTCTACTCTTTTCTAGCATCCTCCCCCCCGATGGTTCAAAGCGAATATTGATGGTGCACGGCTTCCATCTAGGATAGCCAGTACCGTTGTTATTATTCCAGATGAGAGGGGACTTGGCCATATTGCAAAAGGACATCTTTTTTAGCATTTGGATAGTCCTCAGGTTGAACTCCAAGCTATCAAAGCTTTCCAAAAAATTTGCCAACCATGGATGCTCAAGTGCAAGGGCATCATCATTAAAGGTGACAACGCTAATATCATGCATTTTTTTAGGACTACTATGAAGCAGGATACTTGGTGCAAGCAACCACAAAAAACACAGGACTTTACATTTCGTTTATCTTTCAAGGAAGTTTATTTTTCTATATTACTAGGGCTTGTAATAGGGCTGCCCATTTTTGTGCCAAGTGCGATCTTACGGGTTCTTTTGTTGTAAAGCATGTAGATGACTATGGGGATATTGCTACCATACTTGTAAATGACATATCTCTTTTTTGTACATCATAAATGCATACATGCATAGTTTTTGTATATTTTTTATATAGTAATACAAATGCAAGAATTCACGAAAGACTGTGCTTGAAGAAAAGAAGAAGAAGAAAAAAGAAGAAGAAAAAAGAAGAAGAAAAAAGAGAAAAACTATCTCAAGCAGCTCCGTGTGAAGAAACAGGGGAAGGGATCAGCTCTGCTTACAAGTTCGAGCAGATAAGGAGACAAAGTTCAAAGCCGAGCAAGCCGCATGCGAGTGACGGGAGGACCGATCCGAGCTCAGTGAAGAAACGTGAGTTTGGGTTTATTTACTTTTAGTAATGATTTTAATATGTATGTTTCATTATGAAATATTAATAGAAATTTTAATTTAAACAAGATTTAAGCTCTAAAAGCTTTAGAATTGAGGGAGAATAAGATGAGACATTTAGGGTAAGTTTATGGTCAGAGCTTTATTTCTATTAGATAAATAATCGGTAATGTAAATGCTTATGTGAGGTTTAATTTTAATCAGGTAGCATAAGTTGAAGGATTTTTAGATTTTAGAACAAGGAAGAATTAACGACAACAAAAGGATGTAAGTGGTATAAGTTTAAATTTTAATTATTAAAAATGTTTGTTTATTTATGTAAAATGTAATTAAATTATTTTTAAGTTTTATCAATTTAAATTAGTGATTAAATGTGCAATGAGTATTAATTAAAAAATAAAAAAGAGGAATCAAAGGAAAAGAGCAAGGCATTCAAAGGTTCAGGTAAATAATTACTTTCTAATTGGTATTAAATTAATGATTTATTTAAAAACTACATTTTAAAGATAAGGATTATAATAACATTGATAAAAATGAACTTGCAATATTCTTTTAAAAGCAAATATTTTATTTATGATTTGCATTTTGAATGGTTGAAAGATGTCTCACAAATTAGAAGGAAAATAATTGAAATATGAAAATATAAAATAAATATTATGACGCCAAGCATAAACCAGATAACTTTGATGTTGGAAGGTTTGTTTTTAATCAAGTAAACCCGTTGAAAGGTTTGCTTTTCATTTGGATTCCTTAACAATGTTCCAGATTTGAGTTTTTCCCCCTTCACACTTCTTCGTCCGATTTCGTTGTAAAGTCCTATCCTTTTGACCTCTTTGAAGACATTATTCCCTGATTTTTATCGAGAGTTTTCTTAGGTGACTTCGGTCATTTAAAATGTAATTAACTATAGGGGTTTGCCCTTATAGGAAGCTTTTCCGAACCCAGCTTAAAATAAACCCTATTTAATCATTCGTATTAAATAGGGGAACTTGTCGGCAAATAAAACGGTTTCGCAGACCCAAACGGATGTCATATGTTTTCTTAGTTTATTTGATCGAGTCTTATCCTCAAGTCTTGTGTTTATCCCTCGGGATAGATACAGGATTTGAGGTAGAGCGCTCTTTCATTTAAACTGTGAAAAATATGAGGTCAGTTTAATTTCATATTTTTTTAAAATTATATATATGTATATAAATATATATATATATATATATATATATATATATATATATATATATATAT